TGAAATGGGTTGCATATAGCAGTTCATTTATTCTTAACTCTTTCGCCTTATGATCAGGAAGAATCTGTATGAAAATAGAAGGCTTAATTCTAGTTTTATTTTTAGAAATCTGTGGATATTTTATTAAATGTAACAATATAAAGAGGGTAGATACTAAAACATATGTAGTTTTATGAATAGTCTCTTACTACAGGTGTTGGTATGTCCTATGAAGAATAGCGTAGGCTCAAAAACAGTCCATATTGTTATTTCTCTCTACTACAGTGTAGACTTAGTATCAAAAACTCTTATCAAAGAAACATCTAGCATATTCTGAACATTCACCTCATGACTCAAAGTGTAAAGAGGTGTAAGCGACATTTAGTAATTAAATACTGAACTTGAGGATCAGCCATCTTTATTTGTTACAGATGGAAAAAGAAACTCTGTGAGTAATAGCAAAGCAAGTGGCATTTGTGGCTTATGCGTAGTCATTTTAAACAAATTAATTAGGAATATCTTGTCTGTCCTACAGTCCATCTCTTAAGTAAAAAGAAAATGTTGATTCTGAATGTTGGCCACTTGGGGGGTTCATTTTCTGTTTTAGCAGACCTACCTTACTGAATGTGTTGAAGCTATAATAAAACAGCCTCACTGAGAAATAAAATGAAATTTATGTAAACATAATTTAGGCCTACATTTTTAAGGCTCTATATTTTACAAATAAAGATGGCATTGTCAAAGTGTGATCTTGAACAAAATATACAGGGAACTCATTTAGCATATGAAATTTACTATCCCTTGGGTATCAGGAGTCCAAAATATCAGCTTGCTTAGCAGACGTGAAAAATAATGTCTCCTGTTGCACATTAACTTGTATCAATTCGTTTCTCTGTTAGTATCGTTAAAATATATTCATATATAATCAAGGTATATTCACAGAAGCATTAAAGGAAGTGCTGTATATTTAACAGTTGGTAAATTATGAAATCATTTTTCATGATTAAATTATTGCCTTTTCTGTGTATAAAGTATTCAAATTAATGTATAAAACCATACTACTGATGATGCCCATCTCGCAAAGTACACGGTTAGTAGTATTGTAAGAGCTTGGATTTTTACCACCTCCTGTGCAGAAATATCATCAGACCAACAGTATTTTAGTTGCCTGCCATTTTCAGAATGTAATTTTATAAATAAGACTGTTCAGAGAGACTATAAACTGCCATCTTTGTGATTTAAATGAAAAAGTTAATTTATCTCAAAAGCTTTTAGAACCCAATGAAACACTATTACACACAGATAGAACATGACGGTGAAAATTGCAGGTGAAACTGAGGCAAATGAACCATCAGTGACAAGTTTAACTTGTTAGAACAAACTTCCTGTTAGGAAAAAATTTTGATACTGTTTTAAAGGAACAAATAAGTCGCGCCCCCCTCTCCCCCCAAAAAAAGCTAAAATGAGGAAAGGCTCAGATTTGCCTTGAGCGGGAAAGCAAACATGTTTGTCTAGCTAATGCAAAGATTATGCTGTCATTTAACAAAGAATATAATTGACCTCTGGTTTTATAATAAACAGGCACAAATCAAAATTCTTTCTCCGTTCACTCTAGCAGATTACTTTCCTAAGCTCTGTTTATGAGTAAGAATGCCAATCTTGTGGTACAGTTATGAGGCTTAAAGGCACTAATCTATTTACAATGCTTGGCACACAATGGGCTCTGAACAAATATTAGCCTTTTTCTCTTTGTAAGTCAAATACTATGTATGCAACAGTGACCAGGAAATGGTAAGCTTCATTGTCTCCATTTTAAGATCAAATACAATATACAATTAAAACATTGAGTGTGTGACGAAGTAACCTTTATTTTGGCTGCTCAGCAGTTCTCTTTGGACACGTTCTTGCCTGGTGCTCAGGTGGTTTACAGAAGGATCAGAAATGGTGCCAGGGTCCGGCAGGACCCTCGTGACTCCTGACTGCCATCCCCTGTGCCGAGCGGGTGTGGGCACCGTGACCGTTCTTCAGAATTGCTCCCAGCAATGGGCACGAGAGAGGAAATGCTGAGCTCAGAGTGGATTTGTCAGGAAGCTAAAAAGCTTAAGCTTCGTAGACCCTCACCTGAACAAGCCCCCTTTTAGGCCGTTTATCTAGTTTGTGTTTGTAATTTACATTCCTCTCTTTAAAGAGGGCCCCTTGGATTAGATCATTTCAGGCCCCGTGAAACCTGGATGGACTCTGACTGCACTGTTAGGTAAAAGAAAAAAAGTTCAATACTATATTAAAAGGATGGGTTGGCCAATAGCATAAAAAGTAAGTTTTGCCTATATTGACCAAATAATGACTTGTTAGTAACCCTTAGATATTCATATGCCTTTACCTATCTAAGAAGGTGTTCTCTAGTTCAGCTTTCACCTGAGAATTACCCATGTGAAGAAGTGAGAAAGGGGACCACCTGGCAATCAGGTGTTCACTTACATTGCCCAGGTATTTGATTTCTGTGTTTTTAGGTGGGTAAAGGGAAAGAGACAGATAGAAACCAGTGTCATAGTGATCTGACTCAGTATGTACCAAACACTGGGTTCAGCACTGTACATGAATTATCACATTTTTATTTTCATGTAAGTAATAGCTTGGAGAGTGAGGCTTAGGAGACGTCAAGCAAGCTTTGTATGTTTTTGTACAGCTAATGGAGCCAAAATTTAGACAGAGGGCTTCTTACAATGAAAACTTGAGTTCGTTCAACCTCCCCATGTAGGTGAGGCTCACCTGCCAAGAATCAAGCAGCCACTGAGAGGGAATGGACATTTAACTTACAATCCGACTAAGATTTTGAATATGTAACATCCTGCGAGAAACTTAGTACACTTTCTTTCTTGGTAACTTACCATGTCCTGAGGGCTGCTGTGTGCTGCCTGTACCGTGCCGTCCTCTGCTTAGTGATTATTTCTCCAATTTCATCACCACTACCTACAAGCTCTCAAGATAGGGAGGTAGACAGGTAGGTAGATAAATGGGTAGGCAGGTTGGTATGTAGGTAGGTAGGTAGGTAGATACACAGATACAAAAATGCATATACTGCTCAAATGAAACTTTCACCATTACTATGATTACTTTTACTATTTTAAGAGTAGCCTCAGAAGTCCTCTTAAAAAGTTGTATTGTTTCTTTACATCAGAGTTCAAAATTTTTGTTATTTAATCACCAAGACTGAAATACTGCATGGGATTTGGAATTAACAACTTGAAATTTTTTATTTGCAAAACCTATAAAATGCTTATATTTTGAAATAAATTATTTTCTTTATCTGTCAACCTTTTAATTTCTCTCTTTACATTAAAGATTTTTTTCCTGGATGATTTTATCCCATCTCCACAATCGCTGTCCAGTTGAAAAGTATAACTAACCGCACTGCTACAGAAGCTTACGGGCTGCACTGTGCATCCAGGGTAGAAGAGCATTATTTCACAGGAAGTATGTCAGGTCGTGGGCTGTGGCCAAGGCTTAGCTGCAGAGTCACACAGCCACAGGAGGGTTTAACTCACGTGTTAATTGTGAAGTTCTCTGCATGGAAATATTTACTGAACACTAGTCCCAAAGTAAAGTCATGGGTAGAAACTTTCAGAAGTCAAAATGGTATTGGGAACAGTTTAAATATATTCTCTAAACAAAGAATGATAGGTAGGTAGGTAGGTAGGTAGGTAGGTAGGTAGGTAGGTAGACAGAGGCCCTGGCAGGATAGTTCAGTTTGTCAGAACTTTGTCCTGATACACCAGGGCTGTGGGTTCAGTCCCCAGTCAGGGCACATATAAGAAGTGATCAGTGAATGCATAAAACAAGTGGAACAACAATTCAAGGTCTCTCTCTCTTTCTGTTCTTCTCTCATCAATTTAAAAAGTGTTTTAAAATACATGTGTGGTAAGAATAAGTAAGATGTGACTTGAATGCAAATGCCTACTCTGTAGTGAAATGGGAAGACTTCATCATTGTTTCTGATTCAGTTACATGATTGTTGGACAATGTTATCAAACCTTTAATGAAATGCTTATTAGTTCTTTTTTATGAACACTTACCTAAGAAAGTAAGTGTGCTTTTACTGGCATTAAAGGTGGCTCACTTTATGAGTGTCCATGAGGATTCTGTATCAAGCACCCGATTATATCTCTGAGTAAAATCTGTTATAACATGGCCTCAGTGCTTGAGACAGTGACTGCCACATTGGGTATATGGCGGACTGCTCAAGAGTAAAACCCTTGTTACATTAAGGATGGAACTGTATTTACACAACTGTATAAGTTGTATACATATTACAATTGTATAATTGTAATACAGTTGTATTACAATAACTGTAATGCACTTACATAATACATTGTATAAGTTGTATACAGTTGTATTATGTAAATTGATGGTAACAGTTGAGGAAGGCACTTAGTTGCACAGATAGAATTATGCACAGTTCCGTAAACATATTTGTGAATGATAAAGTTTGAAACTAAAATGGTATTGGGAGTGAACGATCATTTCCTTCCACAAAGGAACCTTCTTGTTCTTGATGTTTATTCACAAAAAGTGTTACATATTCCTTGCTTTTAAGGAAAACTCTTTATCTCCTCTCATTCCCTACGTCATCTTGTTCTTGCTGATCATAGCATAAGCAAAATCCACTTTCTCGGCATTTTAAAATGCCTCGGTCTGGTGCTCACTTCAGCACCAGACACACAAATACTAAAATGCCTCGGTCTAGAAAGATATGTGAGTTGTCTTTGGAATGTGTTACTTTACGCATTAGTCATAATCAGCCAACAGGATGAGTACCTGAAATGTTACTGAGCTTTGCATACATGAAGTATTTGATACAAGTGTGATCTTAGAGAACGTGATGGATTACAAGCAAATTGGCTTGTAATGGAATGCAACGTATGGCTTTTATATTGAAGTTTGTTCTTTTGTAACATTTGCCAGATTTAGTTGTTAAAAATTTTAATAGCCTTTCCTTCCCTTTCCCTGTTTTGCTGCTACAGATCCACATCCAGAGAACTGAAGGATGTGATCATATGACCTGTTCCCAATGTAACACTAATTTTTGTTATCGATGTGGGGAGAGATACCGCCAGCTCCGTTTCTTTGGAGACCACACATCAAACCTCAGTATATTTGGATGCAAATATCGCTACCTCCCAGAGAGACCTCATCTAAGGAGATTAGTGAGAGGGTCTGTCTGTGGTGAGTATCCAACGTGACTTGGAGGAATCCTCCCTTGGAAGTACTCAGGGATGCCAGCACTTAGAAATGCAATAGCCACGATCATGTTGGTCATCTGCCAGGTGGTCTAGTGGGGCCTTTCCCCCAAAATAGGAGGAAAATGTGCTCTCTGCCTTTGTGTTTAAAGTTAAAAACTTAAGTTTGTTAGCAGGACCTTACTTACATGAGCAAGCAGATTTTGTTCAAAAAAAACAAATTATGGCCCTGGCTGGTGTAGCTCAGTGGATTGAGCACAGGCCTGTGAACTAGAGGATCGTGGTTCAATTCCCAGTCAGGGCACATGCCTGGGTTGCAGGCTAGTTCCCTGCAGGCCAGTTCCCAGCAGGGGATGCACTAGAGGCAACCGTACATTGATGTTTCTCTCCCTCTCTCCTTCCCCTCTAAAGATAGATAGATAGATAGATAGATAGATAGATAGATAGATAGATAGATAGATAGATAATTTTTTTAATTATTAATTACACTGCAAAAATAAGAAGTCATTAGTCTTTTAAATTTCTGAAACTCTATTGTAAGGCACTGGTTGAGAGAAACAATATCACATTTATTTTTGTATTAACAATACCTAACAGAAAATCTTACATGTGCCCCCTGTTCATTCACGGAGGATGTGCAATACAATAAAAAAACTGCATGCTTTAGAGCCCTGTAGTGGAGTTCCATTGGATCCGAATAGTTGATAAGTCATTATATATATTTTCTATTGTGTGAATAGTTAATATTCATGGCTAACAGTAATGTAATGAGTATTAAATGCCCCCACTGCATACAAACCCAAGTTTAGATATGCAAGTGCAGATTTTTCGGAAGGACCTTTTCCCTCCCCCTTCACCCTCAACACGTGATATCATACACACACGTAAACGCAGACCCTCGCCCCGGCCTAGCGCCACCAGCTCTGTGTACGGCAGTGTCCTTCACACCCAGTGGCTGTTTCTTCCCTCAGCACCGTCCTCCTCTGGGATGTGCCCGCCGTGGGATTTCTTCCTCTTTTCATCACAAAGGCCTCCACTGTGTCTTTCTACGGCAGCCTTTCCTGGCTGTGCAGTACTTCTGAACGTCATGCACATTTCGCCTTTTGCCTAGTTCCTTCATGACGATGGCTTTGCATGTCTCTTTAGCCCTGAATCACTGCTGCTGTAAACCGCTCCCCTCTCCAGAATCCTACATAGGGTGGTTAATCAGACCAAGGCTGACCTGATGCATAGTTCCATCAGGTGAAAGAGAGTACAAGTATTTTAATATTCACTTTAACTTATGGAGACCAATGCCATCATTTTCTAAAATCTTGTCTGATTCCTATAAAAATGTCCCTCCTGAAATCTAAACATAATTTGCCATAGCCAACAGAATTCAATATAGCCAAGACTGGTTTTAATAATTTTCAGTGATTTTGTTTATTTTCTTATAGTGGTATATACTATAATTATATAACCGGTATTTAATTATTAGTTAAGTGGATTTGGGAGGGATAGCCAGGGACTCCAACCCCTATTTATAACAGTAATATCATGAGGAAACTAATTGCAAATTTAAGTGTTGAGCTGTAACCTATTTGTAAGTCCCTATATATACAGAATAACCTAAACACAAAATCATCAATTTTCTATGTTGCTAGCTCTTTTCTTTCCGGCTTCAGTGCCATTTTGTGGCACAGTGGTTTCTTCCATCCACCAGAATCCTCTTCTCAGATCCTACAAGAGTCGAGTTATTTAATAGCCTGTGGAATGGACAGCTTGTGAATGCTGTCGGCAGGGAACTACTTTCTCTGTACTGTTTTTTCTGTTTTATTTAAAAGTTTTATGGTCGACTTTTGGTAAATGGTTTTCTGTGGGCCTATTTTGTATTCCGTGTGTATACACATGTGTCAGAACAAACCTGACAACGTGGGAGCAGCCGGCATTAAGATAAGCTCTCCCTCCCACACATGTTTTTCCACCTCCAGCAGAGCTGCCTCTGACTCCTGTTGGGCGGGAACGTCCAGGGCAGTTCTGCCCACCTCTCCCATCTGCACAGAAGGCAGGAAAAGGGGTTACTCTGTAACTCACAAACCTGCCTTTTTCCTGCCCTATAAAAAGGAAGATGGATTGATCATAGCAAAGCCTTCTCACCCTGTCTGCGTGTGTGATGTAAACTGAGTTAGCGTGGGACCACTCCCTCAGCGTGGGACCACTGCCCCCTAGATGTTCTTGGATAGACACAGAGAAGGGGCCTGCTCTTCTCTTACAGCTGGGGGATGGGAACCGTGGTCTGCATTCCATGGGGCCTTGGGCCAGCTGCAGGTCAGAGGTTCTGCTCCTAGAGAGCAAGGAAGACCATAAACTGGAGGATGATGGGCAGCCTCTAATATGGGAGTGGCTCCCTGGTAAAAAGTAGGCAGATTATTCAATGAATGGTTTGGGGAATAAAAGTGACAGAGGGAAAATGCTTCATTCTCATATAATTCATGCAAATATTCAAAGCATTAAATTAAAGCACATAAGGGCAAAGAAAATATAAATCTTTAATTGATTTCTAGATTGCAAATAATTTCTATAAACAAAAACAATAGAGCCTCCCAATTTTATACACACACACACACACACACACACACACACATTGTTTTTTAAAGGGACAAAGAGGTCTGGAACTAAAATTGAAGAAATAGCCAATAAACATGTTTAAAAATACTCAGTGTTAGTAGTAGAGACATGTAATTTAAAATAAAATGCATTCGTGGACTATTGATTACCAAATATTTTGTCAAGTTAATACTCAGTGCTGGACTTGCATACTGTACTGAATGAATTGGAAATTTTGTGCATTTTTTTGCAAATAAAAATGATAATAATGTGAAGGACATTTCAGATGATTGTTTTGGATAGGCCAACAATCGTTTATTTACAAGTATAATTTAAAATAGCAAGAAAAGGAAAAAATAACAAGAATAAATTAGATATGATAGGTGGATACGATGAATTATTTTAAATACTGAGAGTGGTATTTTAAAAGAATTGTTAATGATCTAAGAATAAAAGAGTGCGTGCTTAATCCCTCAAGACAGTTTCAAAAGTAGACTTAAACATATAGTAAGCGTTGGTGGCATGATTAGAATTAGTTTATTACTTCCCAGAGAAAGAAAACCGGTAGTTGGGTCTCAAAGTTCTGTCATGTTTGGAAAAAATCACTGCTATTACTTTTCAGTCAAATTTCATAGCTATTATGAAAATATACTAATAATTATTTTAAAGGAAATATGAATGAACTTACTGAGCTACATGTGCAGGGAAAAAACAGACTTGTTAAAATACACAAGCCAATATATTCTAAACAGTTCAGCATAGCTTTTAGAATGTACAAAGTATAATTGTTCCATGAGATTTAGTATTGTTTAATTGGATTCTGTCACAGTGAAAAGTACAAGTAAAACCCGGGGTTAAACATTGTGTCAGATGAATGGCAATCTTTTTAAGTCAGGTATTAAAAACTATATTTTCTCTCAGCTTGATAATGGTTCCAATGGGTTCCAAAGACCATTTCTCAATACAAATATGGACATTTTTATTGTGACTACATTATGATTCTATTTTTTACATATAATTGGTTATTCTAAATTACTGTCTTTCACTTGTAGAATGGGTTGCTGGCTTCTTCTTAAACAGCCACACGATTCTACTGCAAAGCCCCTCCATTCCTCTCTCCTCTCTTCTTGCACCAGGGCTCTGCAGCTACACTGCGGGCTCACATGCCTCAAGATCAAGGTTACTACACAGTGACAAGATATTACATATTCATAGGTTTTTGTGTGCGTGTGTGCCAGTGCCTTTCAAAGTTAGTGGGGTTCCAATTGAAAACTCTGCTGTGTTTGCATGTAAGTAGAGTTCATTATAATCGGTGCTCAATTATTAATTTAGGGAGGAAAAAGGCTGGTCGATGCCATGTGGCCTCCTTGTCTGCATTTAGTCTTGGCACTTACTATAGAGGGCTTCCTTTTTAAATTTGTTGAAATGATTCACTTCGATAACTTTCAGTGTACTGTATGTTAATTAATAGCTTTCTCTAACAGTAGTACTGAAACATTTCAGTCTAGTTGTTTATTAGGTGTTCATATCATTAGTTTTATTTGTACTCATATAAATAAGTCACTTTTTCAGATGTGAGCTTCAGCAGAAGCCCTCCACAGCACCTACTAGCTTTCCATTTTGTGAGCCAATTCAATTTTCGAGACATAGCTCAGAATGTGCTGCTCCTTTCTTAATCTTCCAGAATCTTGAAAGTTGAAATGGAAGAGATCTAAAGGAAAAGCACACATGTCCCTGGCAGAATAAAGTGAGCTGGTAGCTTTGGATTTTTTTTGTTTTTTGCTTATAAAGGATAAGGGATTTATGGAATGTGTGACCAATGTGCCCAGGACTTTAGTGAATTTACTAAACCTGCATGTGTATATGTTTGTTCTACACCTGATGTATTTCCTTGGAAAAATATTGCCCTAATTATAACCAGACTTCTTTAAAAGAAAATAACATATACTCTCTGATATTTAAAAAAAAATAATGCTGATTTTGCCTTTTGTTTTCCAGCTGGAAAATTATTTGTTGCACCTCTAATCCTGGTCCTGGGATTAGCACTAGGGGCCATAGCAGTTGTAATCGGTAAGAAACACTTAACATGCCTGAGATGAGAATTCTCTGAGTGCCATAGAGTATGAGGATGAATGTCGTACTGCGAGTCTGTTGTTACGTGGGCAGGGCATCTGTTCAGTGCTTGCTTTAGATAGGCACCTAACGTGGGATTTACAGACTCAGAGGCTCGTGCTCCATGCAGGATGCACGGCTGTGACACTTGCTCAGTCTCTGGACACTTCGAACCATGTGTATTCCGAAGCATCATTAACCCCCTTTTAACACCAATATGAATACAACTAGTATTTAGTGAAAGAATCCAGTGGACTAGAACCCAGATTTTCCAATTCTGAGTTCAGGTCGGAGCATCGAAGAAAGGAGCCTCTGGTACACCCTTGGGTGTTTGGTTTGTTCTAGTGAAGGAGCGCCCTGGATGGAAAAAGATGCCTGTGATGGGATCAGAACATATGCCCAACGTATACCGAGCACTGACGAATGGAAAGTGTATCATTGACTCGTATAGTTTATTCATACAAATGTAGTAAAATATATGTTTTAAAGCAGTGGTTTCTCAGACTCTAGCATGCTTACAATAACCTGGAAGGGCTGTTTAAAGCCCAGGTTGCTGGTCCCTCCAGCAAAGCACAGTTTTTTTTCAGTGTCCAGGGGCAGGGTCCATGGTTTCCTAGTTCTAAAATTGCTCAGGTGATGTTGATGCTGCTGGTCCAGAGACCACACATGGAGAACCATTGCTTTCGAGAATATTCAATTCAGTGCTATAGATGAAGGTGCCTCTGATGATTGTTTCAATTAGTGAATGGAATTTTCTTCTAAAAAATAACTTTTCATATGTAAAGTTTTATTTAGCAGGCAATTTGCATGTATGAGAATTGTATAGTAACTAACATTTCAATTATTACGATGAGTGGGACTTTATATAGTAGATACTGTTATTATCTGCATTTTACAGTTGAGGAAATGAAGGCTTCCCAGGCCAGTCCTAAGTGATAGAGCTGGGAATGAAACCTGACATTTGGTTCCACAGCATGTATTGTTCAGTAATGTTAGTGTGCCTGAAAGTGAAGTGTAGATATCATAGTACACAACTGGTGTAACCAGAGTCAATGAAGAAGACTTAAACCTCAGGTTTGAGAGAAAATATTCCACCTTCAAACTGGTGTCATGGAGGTGGTTGAACAGGGAGAGAGCTAAAGAAAAATAATAAAGAATGAAATCTTGTAGAAGTAAACACATGTAGCACAGGTCTCTTCCCTCTTTTCATCTCCACATATTGCTAAATAGTGATTATTTGTAAATCATTCGCAAAATAGAAAATTTTCAATTCTATAAGCCTAAATGCCTCTCCTCCTAATGAGCTCCTCATGTTTTTTAACCCTTAGGTTTATTTGTATTTCCTATCTATTGCCTTTGTAAAAAACAGAGAAAACGATCACGAACAGGTATGCACTGGTGAAATGCAGATGATTTCATCTAACTAAGCTGGCCCGGGTAGGAGCTATACTGAAGGGCACACCCAGCCAAGAGTCAAGTCCGGAAACATACCAAGAGGAACCTTCCGCCATCTGGAGTCCCCGTGGTTCTCTGCAGTCCACAACGCCTCTGCTCCAGTGTGCTCCCGCCATGGTATCCTGGCCTTCCCTTATACTGATTGCTGCTTTTAAACAATGGTCACTTCCTTACACTATAAACATCTGTACCATAATTCCGACCTTCTTAATGGGTCTTGGAAGAAATTATTTTAGATAAGAACCAGTTACCCTCAGAATTGTCTGAGAGTGCCTCGCCTGAGAATTGCTTGGACTGTCTTCATACCTGAACCCTCCTCTGGGCCATCCTGTTTAGACTTGGTGTGAACAGCTGAAGTCCCAGCTGTACCAACAAACAAAGCCACTTCTCAGAGATAAAGGCTCACCACATACCCTTGTTTTCATCTGTGGCCCAAGCAGTGCAATTCCTCCATCCTTCAGATGATATACTTGTCAAAAAGCTCAGTGTCCAAAAGGGAACTAAAGAAACTAAATTAATAAAAAGAGTCATGAGTTACTGACCTGTATATGTGTAGGGATATGAATGTGTGTGTGTATAAATATCTGTGTTAAAACGAGGCCCAGTAACCTTGTACTTACCAAGTCCCATGCCTCCATACTATTTTTCCACATTTTTGTAGATATATTTAATGGTGATGGTTCCTTTGTGGGCATAATTTGGGAGTGTGCTGAATTAAAGTCGATCTAGACAACAGGCTGTTTCGATGTTGACCCTTTCTATTTCTTCCTCTCTCTCCGTCACAAACACACAGAGAAATGTGTGCCTCATCACCCCAAGGGTTATCAAACTTTATAAACTGACAAAACTCACTGACTGATTTTTAGCAAACTTTCAAGACCTGAACATTCAGTCTTTTCCACCTTCATCTACTTTGGCATACATGCTTCACCATAAGAATAAATCCTTTAGGCGAAATTAGTTCATTTAAGTGGCAAGTTTGCTGTAGAAAGAACTGCTGAAGCCGTTAAATAATCTTTATTCTGCTAAATTTTTAAACAATTTATAATTACTGATAATTTTGCTTTAGGTGAAGGTGTAGTATTATTAACTACCTTACCCTCTTTCTTACCTCTTTATTTCTCTCTCTATTTAATTTGTCCCCAAGTTTTTCATGAAAACAAATACTAGTTTTGAAGGAGTCTCCTTATGTTTACTGCTCACATGCATAATAATGTGTTGGTATCTTCTTACGGAGGGATAATCTGAAAATAAAACTTTTGTGTTTATAGGTCTATGTAAAATATAAACTGCTTTTGGAGAAGGACACCGAAAAATGAAGGAAATATTTTCAGGAAGTTTTACCAAGCTGAGGTGTCTTTAAATAAAAGAAAAGGACGAGTAACTAAATTATGTTATTCCTTTGTTCTCATCACAAATGTTCATCATCAGAAAGGAAGTAAAGACCCCTAAGAAGCCTAGTTTTTGTTTGTTCCCAATCCTTAAAATTACCCATCTGCATAGACATAGCATTAATTTAACAGCAACCTTGTGTGAATTGAAACAGATTATGTGAGAAAACATGCATTAACATGGATAGGTTGTCTCGTTGGTCTCCCAGGTTTAAGAACATTTATGACTTTTATTTGACCTAAGAAGTTCGTGACAATGAAGTTTACTCGCATGGATAACAAGCCAGCGCATTTCTGTTCTTTCTAAATGACACTCAGAATAGCTACACTATAGCTTCAGGACTAGACAGTTTCCAGTTAGAGGAGGGTGTCCCATTTATGGTTCTGTAATGACATATTACTGAATCATGACATGTTATAAGAAGAAGCAATGTGCTTTAGTCTTACAAAATATATTTCCTTTCAGTCATCTGTTTGTCCATCCATTCATTTGACAAATATTCATTGAGCCTGTACTATGTGCTCTAGTGTCAAACTGAGAGAAGGAGAATTTCCATCCTGAATCCATGCAATTGTGTCATAAAAAGTGCTAAATGTCTGTGAACTTGCCTTTCCCAGACTTGGGTGTTAGTTAGACAATATGTGAGTATGATCATTCTAATTCTAGTAGCTATGTTTATGTATGATATATATGTATATATAGAATATTTCCATAGAAATATATGGGTATATATATTATCCATATATTTATGTATGTATACATATATAATATGTCCATAGATGCATATAAATACAGATGCCACATACATATATACCGACTGGCTAAATAATGTGTCGTCTGGTCTTAGATAATCTATCTTCTTAGGTCATTGTATCTGTCGTCTTTGGCCTACTCAGGGATTTTTATTTCTTTCTTTGAATAACTTATCTTTGGGAAATATTTTTATATTATTTGGAAACATCCCAGTTTTCCAGTTACCAACTGGCGTCTGTCCAGTGCAGGCTGTCTCGTCACCGCCGAGCAGGCGTGCGCTGTGTTGCACAGGGCTGTTCTTGTCCTAGAGCACAGAATTTTTAAAACTCGTGTAAGCGTAACTTCCGGGATGCATTCTAAACTACTTTAGAGAAAGAAACATACACACAAAAGAAATATCTTTCTATCCAAAGCTTGTCCTTTTATGTTTTTATTGTAAACTTAATATACAAAGGTGGGCAAAAGGAGGTCTACAATTTTTCATATGCAAAGTAATACAATAATAAATAATAATACACAAATAAACTTTTGCATACTCGTAACTGTAAACCTACTTTTTCCCTCCCCTGTATACATTTTGTAAAAAAATGAAAACCATATAGAATTACAAAACACAAATTTATCTGTTTAACTGACCCCTTATTTTCTAGGGGTAGCCACTGTTAGTAATTTGGTTTGTGTCCTTCTGGGCACTTTCTACAAATATACAAGTAAATGTCTGTGTGTGCTCATATCTCTGTGTATATTAGTTTTGTACAAGTGGAATAATAACATCCTTACTGTCCTGTGATTATTTTTCATTTTGATATATATTGGTAGACACTTTTCCATAAGAGTTTCAACAGATTTGCCTCATTGTTTTGTAAATTACTACATATCCCACTGTGAGGCTCTACTTTAATTTATTTAATCAGTCCCCTGTTGAATGGACAAGATTGTTTTACTTCTCTAATACAGAGCATCACTGAAGATCCTTTACATAGATTGTTGTCACTTTGTGTTGCCATTCCCATAATTTTTCAATTTGGTTTTTAGAAGACATTTGTAATAAAATTTTAATACGTTTTCAGTGAATGAGGTCATAGACATCATTAGTATATTTGATATATTTTTCTTAGATAAAAAAAGATTACATAGAAGTACATAATTTTTAAAGAAAAAGCATTTTTTTGCAGGATAATTTTACTCCTGCTTAATAGCCAAATAAAAATCTGGCCAAAATATATAAAAGAAAATGAATCTTATTCCAATTAAAATAACATGTAATGAGATGTCTACAAGATAGCCAGGAAAGACGCACTGATGTTTGGATGGCCTAGTTGTAAAACTTGAGGGATTTAAATGAAATAACCAAATCAGTCATGTTTGTCACATTTTTGTAAACACTGTCCATGTTCATGCATGTTGCTGCACAAAGGAACTTAATTATGCCAATGTGAAAAGTAGGAAGCAGAATGTTGCCAATTATGAACTGCCACAGTTATCCGTAGAAAAATAAATAGATTGTATGTGAGGTTAAGTGGTCCGTTGGGATGTTTAAAATGGTGGAATAACGTGAAACATTCCTTGTACAATGAATCCTAGCTGTTCCGTAAAAACCTCTGCCTGTGGAGGCCATGCAAGGGGCCCAACCCTTTGGTACAAACAACATCCTCTTGCCATCCCTTGATTTTCTGGTAGGTGCTGTTGTATCCTGAAAATAAAAAAGACAGGAAAACAATCAAAGATAATTAAATACCAGTCAAGTCCAACTTGATATCCTTAATGGTACTTTCTCGCCAGTGGTGTCTGGAGACAGTGGTACCTGTCAGGAGGTGCCTGTCCTGACACCCACCATCTCCTGAGTCCCAAAGCCCCAGTTGAGCCTTTATCTTTCAATCCTACCACCCAGATCTATGGCCTAAAATATCCTCAAACCACCGTAACCTCCTCCAGTCCCCGGTGACTCTCCCCAACCACCTTCATGTCTACTCCTCTGCCACTCTAGCTCCTGTTGACCAGAAGACAAGAGGAGAGGCAGGAGGGGTGAAAACTCACTGGCATGTGCAACGCATCAGCATTCCTGCCCGACCTTTGTGAGGTTACAGCACATTTGCCAAGACATCCTTCCTGCTTCACCCTCATTGTAATGTTCTTAACATTAGACTTTTGTGCTGCCTGCCCTGTTAAATTCATAATTATTTTTAAAAACTTAGTGCCTAAGTAATACTAATTGATGTATTTCATTAAGTAGTTCAAAAAAATTTTTAATTTATGCCAAAAGCCGTTTAGATTTTAATTTTGTAAGTAAGCTGCACATATGCCTTAATGCGAGTCTTCCCATTGGGGGTATGTGCTCATTCTTTCCTGTTTGTGGCTGAAATCCGTCCCCGCTATTGAGAGTGATTTCCTTGTGGTCAGCTCTATTTTTTTTGTGCTAATATCTATTAATAATATAGCCTTAAAATCAATGCACTTTAAAATACTTGTGCCATTTAAATAATTTGATAGATTTAAAGAAACGGATTACATATATTTGAAGGAGACAGTAGAATAATAATGCTAGCAAATATGTGTCACTTCTTTAAATTTGGGGTGCAGTCTGAAGCTGAAAATTTAGAGCAAAGTGTACCTAAAAAACTGTAGCCAAGTTTCTGAAATTATAGTCTTAGAAATTGGTACTAGGAGCTCAAACATAGCAAGCCATTGATAAATGTTACCTTATAACCTTGTTAACACGTTTGTTAAAAATACCAAGTTAATTTCTACTGCAAGTTTTAAATGCATTTTTGTATTTCATGAAATCTCTAGAACATATTCCACTGACCAGAAATAAAAGTAAGTGAAAACTATCACCAATAGCAAGTTTGAGAGTATTTGTTTTTCAAATCCTCACCACTTAATTTTGGCATTTTCCACCTCCTATGGAAAGTAAATTCCAAAATCCCATCTTTAATATGTACAACCACACTTACTACTTTAATACAACTGAAATAATTTTATAAAATTATTAAGATATGATCTGAACAAAAACAGAGGCACAAAAGTTGGGGAGTATTCAAGATTGTAAAATATTATCTGTTGGATGCAAAGCAGTGATGCAAACCATTAAAAGAGAAATGCAGTGGAACTCTTTGCAACTGTGGTTCTAAGGATAGACTACTCATTTCACAGCTGACAGTGTGGGGGCTTCTATTGTACATCACTGTTGGGAGCCTGGAAGCTCAGTTGACATCACCAAATCCAAGAGCAGAGTCACAGCAGTGTAAGACTCGTAACTGTCTTTTGGAGCATGACCTGAAGTTTTCGTATTTCACATACGTAGTGCCAAGTTTAGAAGCATGTAATTATGCCTGTGACAAACTATGTTTTTGTTTTGCCTAAAGAAAAGACGGTTTTAGAGAATAACAAAATGGAATTAAAGGCAAATTATTTTTTAAAAACCACACAAAAGATTGCCAATGCTTTTTCCTCTACTTCCTTTTAGCTCATAAAAATAAATTTCATTAGGAGTATTTAACTCTACCTAAGTTATGCAGACTTATTACATTAAAAATATTTTTTCAGGTCTATCCCACATTTTAGTCAGTCTGTTCCATCATCAATATAATTGTTTAAGATGAAACAGTTACTGTTTTATTTTTTCTGTTTAATCATCATTGTATTTTTCCATTAATATTAAATAACTTTCTTCCCTGCTTGTGAAGTGATACACTCACACTCAACATCACATTTCTGTTTTCTTCTCGATTTCTTGGTTGTCTTACTTTTTCACTCTGCAGTTCCCTTCCCACTTTGGCCAAATGTGGCCCAAGTTCTTCTTACCGTTAATTCCATTGACTCTAATGAAATGGAATGCAGACACTGAAAGGACTTCATAATTTGGCAGTGGTAGTGAACATAATTTACTTTGGCTTATTTTATCTGTAAACTGAACTAAATAATCAGGATTACCTTGGACAGAGTTGGAGATCCCTGCCCAGCCCTCTGATGAGAAGTAAAATGAATGAGAATATGTCAGTTGGATAATAGAGCCTAAAACACTCTACATCCAAGCTTCAGAAATTGCTTCATGAATATTGAAAGGTCAATATTGTGTTTACATATTAGTTGAACAGCAACACGTGTGGACATGCACCCAAGCTTGACACTGAGACATTCACGATTCATCCCAAATGGCTAAGTGTATGGTTTATAGTCTTTGTTGTAGCTAAAGTCCTACAGGCTGGACTGGGGGGCTGCATTTATATAATGTAACATTTGTATATAAGACTCAAGCATGAATTCATAAGTAGGTCTTTTGAAAACATAAAATAGATCACACTGACTCCAGCTGGTATTAACCCTATTCTGGAGAAATCATTTGTTATCTGCAAATGTTTAACTTCTTCACTGATATGATTTAGATGCAAGCCACACTCGATGTATTTAGCATTGGTTTAGTACGTGATGTGGGAAGGTCAGTCAGGTATTAAAGAGCCCCAGGAATTGCAAAAATAGATGCTTCCTTGTAGCTGGCAGGCTGCGCTTTCATCATCTCCCCAGAGTTGTCCCTGGTTCACCTCATGCCCTACGTGGGGAAATAGTCTCCAGAATCTGGAAAATTCTTAAAAATAAGATTTTTTGTTAACATATTATGTTCTCAGTGTGTCTGAATATACTTTCATTGTTCACTTCAAGTAAATACTACCTAATATTTGATATAAATATTATGCTTTATGTTCCTTTATAAAGAAAATTCTAGATAAAGTATATGATTTTTTAACAGCTAACTATAAACCCTTTTTCTAAGATGCATTTTTTAAAAGTTCTATATGGCAATAGTTTACTTTGGTACTTGATCACTATGATTATAATTAAAGTTCTGTAGATGGTATTGAAAAAAGTAAACCAACCTTATAATTTATATGAAACCTAGAACAGTAATTGATATATATCTGTGTAGATATATAAAATTCATTTACTTTGACAAGGACAATCTGTTACAGATTTTTATTGTCAAAACTAATTGACAGTCTTGCTGCTTATGAAAGCAATTATTAAGTAGTAAATTTTGAGAGATCACAGAAATAATTTTATGTAGAAGGAATACAAAAACAGTAGCATGTTATGTTAGCACATTATTTATTAAGATGCCACACAATTAATTGTTTTATTTTTATTTTAAACAAAATTGCTTATAAGACATTCATGAAACAAATATATTTATATGTATGTATACCTGTTGCAAACTGGGACAATTAAATTATTCACATTCACTTTTTTCACATAGTGTAAATTACTAAAATGGAAATGTTTGGATGTTTAATATATTACTGTATATTCAGATGTTGCAGTTCTAAGGAATAATTACCATGTCCTATTTGAAATATCAGAATATATCCCATTTTAATTAAATCTTCGTGAACAATAGCAAATAAGAAAATTTTAATTGTAAGGTGGATGACTTTCACTAGTAGTTTGTTCCAGATCTTGTTCATCATTTCTTTATATTATGTATTTTTCATTTTGTGTAGAATTCATAGTTATTTTCCAAATACTGTGATAATATTTTTGTTTAAAATTAGACTATTTGAACAGAGATTTTCTTTCCTACTTCAATGATATTGGAAAATATGTAATTTTATTGTAACCTTTTTTACATTTTATTAGTCTACTTACTTAGGTATTAAACTATGTGGAGGAAATAATTGTGAACATTTTAAGAAAGAGGCAGGTAGAAATAAATAAAAAATAAATGATATTAATATCATGTAGAAATCTCTGAAATAAAATTGGAAAGAAAAAACAAATTCTGTTGAAATGAAAATGTTAGGAAATAAGGAGTATTTAGGACCTTAATTTCTTACTGTTAATCAGCTTCTTATTGCCAAATGATTATTTTGGTGTGTTGGTTCCATGAATTGTGCTTTTAATGTAATGTATAATTTTCCCTGTTTTACTGAAAAGAAAGAAATTTGTGAATAAAAGCTAGGGAAACTGGGTTCATTACCATTTTCCAATAGCACTAATGTATAGTTCCCTTTAACCCTTCATACGGTGCTTTGTGTGATGAGAGTATGTAACATTTATACATGTTATTGGTGCCTTATTTTTTTCACTTTATTTCTTATCTAAAGAGCCATATATTTTTTGTGAGTATTCCTTAGTCCCTCTATTTAAAGCCCTGATGACACAAGTGTACCTTTAGGGGTGTATGTAGACTGCGTATTCTTACCTTTCCACTGTATTATCTCTAGAACAGCAGCTAAGTCCATGTATTTTTCTTAAATTAATTGTTCATTGTTCATGTGAAGTATTAAAAGTATATTAAACACCATAAAGTGAAACCATAATGAGTGAAACACATTTTTAAAACACACAAAAAATGATGATTATTAGAGTTTAAAACAGTAGAATGTCTATCAGTCTTTATCTGTAGTTCTTATTAAGAGACAGTTCCATTGCAAAAACATTAAAAATAAAAGAATTTGACCAGTTCTCTACAATTTGTCTTTGGCAATGTGTTATCTGTTACCAACATCCACACAGATGCTGAAAAGCCATGGTGTTTGCCATTTATATGTAGTTATTCATTCACAGTGAGCTGTATCAACATCAAGACATTTCGTATAACATTATTTTGCTCATGTTGGTCTTGCATTCTGTGTTAGCTTTATACAAAAAGCTAGTTTTGTATTCTTTATGTACAATAGTATATAATTCAACTTTTCATGATGAATGTATAATGAATAATTAAAATAAATCATGTGCTTAGAAAAGACAAAGACATAGGCTATATATGCAAATATGTGTAAATATTTGACAAGAAATAGGAAAATAATCCTCCTGCCAACAGATATGTCCTGCGGGACAGGACCTGGAAATTGACAGATTTTTTTTTAAGCAATGAAATTTTAAAAATCTGTTACCTCAAGGATCTTCAGTAGCTATGTGTCAGTGTGCTGCTCCTCCTTAGTAGCTGCAGTCCCTCTTGCTGCTGGCAGTAAAAACACCCAATGTCAAATCACACAAATTTTAGGGGCAAGTCTTTCCAAATGAATACCTTGTGATATTTTGGAGTCTAATTTTAGACTTTCAAGGGTCCCTGTGGCCTTTTATTGTGGCTGGGCTTTCTTTTTATTGTTTGGCTGTTTCAGGATGGAAGGGTGATCTTAATTATGGGATCAGGTCTCATGGAAGAACGTAACAACAATCTACTTGGACAAACCTGTAACGGGCATCACCTGTTCTGACAATCACCGTCTGGCTGTTGTACGGGGTGGGGGAGCCCTGTAGACTCCTGTGGTGTGTGCAGTACATCATTGCTACATCGCCCCACCATGCCTAATAAAGTATTTTAAAGAGAAGAATCTCGTCTGTCTTCCAATAGATTTGGAATTTAAGGAAATTCAGAGGTAATATTTGAAAGTGTCAAATATTACAGGTATATAAGTGAATTTTGAAAGAGTGAAGCCATTTCTGCACTAGATTTTAAGAACTGGAGAAGCAGAAATGAGCAGAAATTCATGGGTGTGATGTTTGGGAGGTGGGCTGTGGTGCATTCTGCATCATGATTCGAGGAAAGCACAGACTATAGTGAAGACCAGTCTGAACATTGCGTGTGCGGTGTGAAAAAGCAGCAAATGCTGTGGAAGAAAGAGTGTAGCTAAGCACCCCTAGTCAAAGTGGGCTAGACAGAACGCCCTCAACATGAAACAGAACTTCCTTTCACATGTTCCACATTCACCAACAAATCGGTGAATTACTTTTCCCTGTGTTATGTTTGAGGCTTTCTAGCAAGAATATGAATCCCATGAGGTCAGCGATCATGTGTCCCCTGGACCTTCTATAGCAACTGGTAGGTACATCACAAGCATTGAAATGGTTGTAGAATAAAAGCAAAACTTCAGAAAAGTTAAGAGATTTTTCCAGGATTCCTCAACTCCAGAAATGATGAAGCCAGGGGTTCAGACTGGTGTTCCTTCTCCAAATGGGCGAGTGCACCAGATTTGAATTAAAAGAGCAACAGGAGGTGGAAAGAACACTAGAAATAAGGAAAGTTCAGTGACGTTTTGGCAGTCATGCAACAAAGGCTTAATTCAAAGTCAGTGCCAGTGTACAGTTTCTTCCCCTGGGCAAATTATGACATCCTCTGAGAAAACAGTAATAATAATAATAATTAGAAAAAGGGAGATACCCTTTCACAATTTCAACATTCTTCACTCAAAGCTCCAACTCCCAAACACCAAGAAAATAAAACAAAAACATGTCAGAGTTGCCTTTGTGCAGAGCAGAGAAGGTCATACAGGGCGAAGACACTCGCTGTCCCACACTGCTAGGCTGATGCTTTCGTCAGCTCCTGGAGCAGGCCCAGGCCAGGTGCACGGGGGTCCAAAGGAGGAACTCCGAGGACCCAGCAGTCTCGTGATCACGGGCTGCAAAAGATTTCCTTCAGGGAAAGCGGGGGCGAGTGCACAGGAGCATCTTCGTCCCCAGCAGCCCTACCTGGCAGGAGATGGGTGAGGAGGATGGGGCGTGGTAGGGGTGGGTGCAGTCTGCTTGGGTGTGCAGCGGGAAGCAGGCCGCTGCACGGGCGTGCTTCCTGCGGGCTGCTCCACAGGTGCGCTGCCCGCACCTGGTCCGCCTCTGCTGTTGCTCCACTGCCTGGAACGAGGACTTGGGGGAGGGTGGGTCTCCTCCCAAAGAAAACAGCACGTGAGTACTTACTTGTGAACAATTACATTCCGAGGCTGAGGTTGTTTCCTTTACCGCATGTTTAAGAGAAAAGTGGTTTGCTGTTTTTAACTGAAGTATCAATTTTTAAATTAAATTATTTTTATGGGGAGGTTAGAAAACCGTTGCCTGAGTATCCTGGTTGCATCTTCCATTTGCCAGGTCACTGTTCATAAACGTAGCTGATAGATTTCCTATATATCACAAACTGTAACCCAAGAGAAAAGAAAATGAATATCAGATTGTGCAATTTTTTATTTTGTTTTTGTTATTTTTATTGTGTTTTTCCATTACCTTTTATCCTCCTTATACCCCCTCCCCCACACACAATCACCACACTTGTCCATGTCCATGAGTCTTTTTTCCTTTTTGCTCCTCTCTCTACCACCTAACTGCCCCCCGAAAGCTGTCAACCTGCTCTCTGTCTCTGAGTCTATCTATATTCTGCTTGTTAGTTCAGTTTGTTCATTCAATTCCATATATGAGTGAAATGACATAGCATTTGTCTTTCTCTGGCTTATTTCACTCAGCATAATGTTCTCCAGGTGGACCCATGCCGTCACAAAGGGTAAAATGTCTTCTTTTTTACAACTGAGTAGAATTCCATTGCGTAAACGTCCCATAGTTTTATCCACTCATCTACTGATGGACACTTCGGCTGCTTCCATATCTTGGTGATTGTAAATAATGCTGCATTGAACATAGGGATGCTTATGTTCTTTCAAATTAGTGTTTTGGGTTTCTTTGGCTATATTCCCGGAAGAGGGGTTGCTATGTCAAAAGGCAGTTCCTTTTGAATTTTTTGAGGTGTCTCCATACATCTTCCCACAGTGGCTGCACTGGTCTGCATTCCCACCAACAGTGCATGAGGGTCCCCTTGCTCAGCATCCTCACCAGCACTTGTTATTTGTTGATTTATTAATGATGGCCGTTCTGACTAGTGTGAGGTGATATCTCATTGTGGTTTTAATTTGCATTTCTCTGATGGTTAGAGATGTCAAGTATCCTTTCATATGCCTACTGACCATCTATGTCCTCTTTGGAGAAATTTAGTTCAAACTCTTCAGTTCCAGTGTTTCTCTAACCCAGACAGGCTGTGGCAAGCCCCTGCATCTTGGCACAGACTGGTTCCCTGCCTCTTCCTGCTCTCCCAAAACTGCTCCTCCTCCACGGTCCTCAGTCCCAGGATCTTCTGCCAGATGCCAGCCTGCCTGTACCACCTGGGATATATCACTGTGGCTTCCTCTGTTAAGTGCTCTGCAGATCACTTCTGAAAAAGGCAGTTGTATTCATTTCCTACAAGCTAGGCAAAAACAGAAATGTATTCAGTTGTAGAGGTGAGAGGTCCAAAATCAAAGTGTCAGCATGAGTGGTTCCTTCTGAACTTTCTGGAGAAGAGCCTGCTTCATGCCTCTTTCCTAGCTAATGGTAGTTGCCAACAATCTTCGGCATTCTTTTACTTGCGCTATTGTTCTTGAACAGAAAGAGTTCATCCACTGGTGGTGGCCGAGTCAAACACTAGACACCAAGAATTGCAGTGGAGAACAGTTGCCTATTTTATTATGAGTGTTGCTGCCTAAGAAAATGGGAAGCTAATGTTCAAAGGCCAAACACCTCAATGGCATGTAGGTTATATAACCTACATGCCAAGACACCATAGGTTAGGGAGTTCAGGGTTGTGCTGGGAACTGATTGGTTGCAGATGACGTAAGGGTAATCAATCATTTCTTCGGGTCTTAGGGACAGTTCTGAGGTCTGTTGCAGGGTCCCTCTGCCTGGTCTCATGAGAAAGTAGCCAGGGGATTGTTTTACTTTAGGGCTGAGGAGCTGAAATATAACTTAAGATGTTATCTTTAGCCCTAGCTAGTGTAGGTCAGTGGATTGAGCACAGACCTGTGAACCAAAGAGCTGTAAGTTTGATTCCCAGTCTGGGCACATGTTGAGTTGTGGGCCAGGTCCTCAGTTGGAGGGCATGTGAGAGGCAGCCACACATTGACGTTTCTCTCCCTCTCCTTCTCCTTCCCTTCCCCTCTCTCTAAAAATAAATAAAATCTTTTTTAAAAAAAAGATATTATCTTTAGCCTGCCAGAAGTTTGGACAGTGTAATCACTAGGTCTCAGCAGCTGCCTTCTGCTGCCTCAGAGTTGTTGATTATCCAGGGAGAAACGTTAGATCTCTGAGATATAGATACAAATATAGATAGAGATGTAGATATATATGTACTCTGTCCAGAAAGTATCCAGCCGCATACTATAAAAAATAGAGACATTTACTGAAAAGGGCACAAGGTACAATAAACACTGTATATAGGACAATGACACTTCAGTCCCCTTCAAAGTAGGAACTTTGGAACCTCACACAGTTCTCCCAGCATCGCTTCTGCTATTCAAAACACTGCAAAATCCTTTGTTGGACTTGCCATCAGCTGCAAAATTGCCGCACCTTCTTCAGGGACGCAGAACCAGACAACTTCCATTCGAACGACTAGGCCTTTGTTTTTGGATCATAGCCATAGACCCACCATTCATCTCCAGTTATGAATGTCTTTAGGAAGTCTGGTTCACTGGTAGTGGTTCACTGGTAGTGGTTTCAATCAAGTCATTAGCAACTGCAGCACAATGTTCCTTCTGCTCTGGTAGCAGACAAATTTTGCCATGACACTTTGCAGGCCATGATCCTGCATAAAAATCCTGGGCACCGTTTTTGGAATCCCCAGATCAGCTCCTAGTTCTCCTGCTGTCAGTCGCTGATCTTGGTTGATTGCAGCCCGAGC